GAATTCAGGGTTAAAAATGCGCTTTTTTTTTTTTTTTTTTTTTTGGCAACAGAATATCAAGTCGTTTGAGAAATAAAACAGAGGGTTATTTTGGGAAACAGAGAACTGGTTTGGGCCTTATGTGGGGATTAAGGGCTTGTGAAATCAAGGAGCTCAGGACAGATTTCTGAGGTTGGCTCTAGGATGCAGCAAGAGATGGTGTTTCTGCAGGAGGGCTGACTCTGTAGCTGTGGTGCATGGTAAGGCGATCGGTCTTCCAGCCCAGCAGTGACCCCAGCCCACGGGACAAGGGCTGGGAGGGGAGAGGAAGCCACTGCGACACTGCAGAGCCCTGTGGTGAAACAGGGCCCACCTTGTTCACCAGGCAATCATGACCCTGCTCGAGGTCAATCATGGGAGAATCACTGGAGGGGAGGGGAGCACTGCTCTCCACAGAACGGGAGAGGCCCCAGGGACAGTGCAGCAGGCCAGGGAGGATGGACAGCAGCAGCAGCAGCAGCCAGGGTGTCTTAGTCAATCTCATTCTCGTTGCTGGCACCCTCAGGTCTTCGTAGCTTTTCCACCTGCTCATTAATCTGCCCATCCCCTCCTCGCCGGTCCTCGGTCTGGACACCCAGACACTCCTCCTCATCCACGTGGCTGACATCATCATCCTCATCATCCTCTTCCTCCTCTTCGCTCCTCTTGGTTTCCCTTTTCTCCTCCTCCCCCTGCACCTCCATCCTCACCTGGCTGGTGACGTCGATGACGGCCTTGGTGGCCTCCTCGGAGCTCAGCAGGTGGCAGCTGACCTTGGAGCCCTCGGGGCTGTGGTTCTCCTTCACCGGGGACGAGCTGGTGGACTCGTTGCTGACCGGGGAGATGTCGCTGCTGCTGTTGTGGTTGGCGACGACGGCGGTGGAGGGCGAGCTGGGCTTCACCGGGATCTGCCATGACGGGATCTTGGGAGCCGAGGGGGAGGGAGGGAACTGCCTCCTTGGGGAGGGGAAGGGGGAAAAGAAGGAGAGAAAGGGGCTTTTATTATAAATACCCAGGGGTTATCGTTAGACAGGATGGTGTTTGTGCCGGGGGAGTCACGGAAAGCAGCACTGGAACTGCAAGTCTCTTTGCCATAAATGAACAAAACCAAGGCCACTTCGCTTCCCCAGCCAGATTCTCCAAGTGCTTTACAAGCACCCAGCAATCGAGCCTGTACAGAGGGAAAATATCCCAGCTGGGCAATCTGAAGCACTAAAATGATCAGATTTGGCCCATTTCACAGAGTAGGCCAACACTCAGGAATGCTGCCTGAGAAAGACATGGGTGTCCCTTCATAAAACAGCCACTGGTTAATTGGTAAAGAAAATTCCCACTGGAGCAAGGAGTCAGACACGCCAGGTCCTTGTGCCTGAGCCAAGGAATTTCACCATCTGGCTCTCACCTCCACAGTGATACACCACTATTGCATCCTGGTTCGTGGCAATCCAGAGCCTTTTCCCAGTCCCAGCAGGCACTTTACATGTTTGGGCCAGGCCCTGGCTGCCACAAACTGGTTCAGCTCCTCTGACTTGAATGGAGCCCCAGCAGCTGGGAAAGCTGGCTGCTCAGTCCTTTCCAGGTGGCTTTATGGATATGACAGTAGCAAAACAATGCCCAGGCCTACGAGGAGAATTCAAGCACCAGACAGGACAAACCTTAGTGCAAGGGGGGCACTGCTGCCCTCAGAGTCAACCACCATGAAGAGCAAGGCAAAAAAAAGTGTGTCTGATCCAGTACTGAGATCTGATCCCTGTTCTCCTGACTGTCCCACAGGCTGGGATTGCTATCACCTCATTTCAGACATCTACTACTCTGTAAGATGTCTGTACCTGAGCTGTAGGAGATAGAGGCTCTGCTGTGGTGAGACTCCTTTCATCCTGCTGATGCCCTGACCATGAACAGGCAGCTGAGCTGCAGCCAGAGGTGACTCTGTACCCCAGAATGCAGGGGTAGATGCAGGCAGTGCCTCAGGTGAGGTGAGAGGAGTCCTGAGTGTGGGGAATGGCCGAGAGCTCCTCTGCCACAAACAAACAGGGAAAATCTCATCAATTCCCCCAAGCACTCTGTGATTTAAGGCAAGTTTGAAAAGCATTTTGAGACCTGCAAATAGAAAGTGATAGTGGAGTGCAAAGTGGTATTATTAAAATAGCAATAACAGGATATGGAGCTGGTTCCTGCTGGAAATGCCTTTCCTCTCCATGCCTGGGAGGATTCAGAAAAGCAGCCCCTTCCCCACCACCAGCTGCTCCCACGTTCTGCCCATACCGGTTCAGGAGAAGCCCTTTTAAAGAGTAGATCTCAGATTTCAGTTCATTAATATTCTGTGACTCCAGGATCCAGTTGGTGGAAGTTGTGGCCTAGAACGTGAAAAACAAGACATAAAGGTCAAAGTCTGAACTGGGCAATGTCACTTGCCACCACTGTCACTTTTTCCTGTGTTATCCTAATCTGGGAATCTCAAGTCCTGTGGATAATATACATAAGCTCTAACATTCAAAATCTCTCAGATCTGAGCAAAACAACCACAATACAGAGGAACCTGAACAAATCCCCACAATGATCAGAAATAATAACTGTCTCAAGGGGCCAAGACTACTCAAATATTTGCTGTGTGTTTGGGGGGCTAATCTTGTTTCCATCTCATGCACAACCACTGCTGAAGCACCTCAAGGGGCCACTTCTTTTTTCCAGGAGCACTTTTGAGAATTCAGACAAAGCTGGGTCCACATAGGATGTTTTCCACCAACGTATCAGACAGAGAACAATACACAGAGAGATAAACTAAATCATTTGGCACTGACCTAATAAATTTCTATGGAAGAACTAGAATTAGGATCCTGAACAACAGATTCAAAAATGATATATTAACAACTATTTTAAAACCATTTGTTCATTTCTCCTAAATCACGAAAGAAAGAATCGATTATCTGCACTCTGTGGTGTTTAGAAGTGGGCTGATAAATCAGTGCTTGAAAGTTCCAAAACTCTTCCCTCCCTCGACCTGAAGAATTAGAGCTGTGCTGGAGTTCCCAGGTTGTATCTCCAGGAGCAGCTGGACTAGGCTCTGTCTCTTGGATATTTCAAGGCAGTCAGTGCAGCTTGGTGGAGAAAAATGATAAGTAACTCCTGGAAGCTTGGTACAGCTGCTGTCAGCACTGCATCAGAATTGCCATGGGATATCAGGCAGAAATTAGAGCAAGTAACTGAGCAGAACAGGCTGCAGACAATACTTTTGGCACTCTTTCTTTTAACCCTTTCGGGAACTTGAGAGTTGGAGGGACTTTGTTAAAGACAGATCAGGGCCTGTGGTGCCCCATCCTGCTGCTGCAGCAGCTCCTGTTCCTGTGGGACCAAAGCACACTCATGCCTGGCACTTCCCACGGTGACTTCGGCTACAAGCCCCTTGGAATGAACCCCTGTGCGAGCATCGCTCCAGAGACACTTCCAACAAACCCCGTGCCAAAGGAAGCCGGGGCTGGAATAACACAGAGCTCCTCCTCAGCAGCTCCTACTCCACGTAGCCAGAACTGGTTGTTCCTACTTATTCTTCCAACAGACTTCAGCTGGTGCTGAGTAACCCTGAGCACCTTCACAGCCAGCACAGCTCCCAGGGACTTCTGGGCTCCGACCCTGAACTGCTGGGAGAGGCTCTGGCTGCAGGAGCTGGGATAGACACAGATGCCTTCCCTGGGGATTCACACTCCCAGCCCTCAGACAGCAAGAATCCAGGAGCCACTGTTCTGGCTTTGCAAGACCTTGAAAGCTACGGCAGCACATTAACAAGGGAGTGATTTCCACTCACTGGCCTGCAAAGGACTCAAATTTCCAAAACACATATGGTGCCAGATGCCTAGGATTTAGAAATAAAATCTGACATCTGGGGCTTTTTAGCCAGTCTCTTTAAAAACAGTTGTAGAAAATTCAAGCCTTGAATTTTTATGTGCGTTTTTTAATTACTTAAAGTCCCTCTTTTTAATTTTTTACAGCACGCCAGTAGGAGTTTGAAAAGCAGATATAAAAACTTACATTACAGCTGAGAAAACACAGCTTTTATTCCTCGGTTTGTGGGGTTGCCCAAGTTTTTCTTTGTACACATGAGGTTTAGATATCATAACAATGTGTGCTACCATTTCAGTGCAGGGGGTAGAGAGGGGGGAGGAAAAACTTCTTCGAGACTCCCTAAACCACCAAGACTCTTACGGCCTTTTTCCTTCTTAAAGCTCAACATGTGTTCTTAATCTTAACACTTAAGACCTGAAAACAGTTTTCCAATTTCCGGACTGGCTCCAGGCCACTGTCAGGCCACAGTTCCCAAGGAAAATTGAAGCAGAGTGTTGTGGCCATAAACTGGCTTTCATGGTTGGGTTTACAGCTGTGCCACTGAGGGATTCCTACTGCACAGTGCGCACAGCACAGAGTCAGCTGTGGCCCACCAGTGACTCACCATCAAAGGGCTTAAAGCACAGGGAAGGGGAGAAGACAATTCCTGCTCCAGGTGGAAGGCTTTGCCTAAGGGATTTCACAGGAAAATCTCTCCCTGCCCAGAGACTGGGCCCTGACTAATCCCAAAGTGAGGCTTTATCTCCATGTGACTGGTTCAAATCCACCCCACCTCACGTGTCATCAGCAGTTTCTGTCTGTGGAATGCTTAAGCAGAATGGTTGCAAAGCGCTCTGGAGATGCAAAGCACTAATTCTCACTGCCAGAGAGAAAATCAATTTTGGTTAAAAGTGGTTCCTTTATTTACACATGTAACAAGACAAACTAGTCAGAACTGATGGTTTTATTGCCAGGGTCAAGTCAGGAGTCAAGGGGAATGGGTCACTGTGTGTCACTAATGGGGTTGTGATGTGACTGAGCTGTCCAAAATCACTGGAACAAGAACCCAGATAGTAAGAATGTTGGGCCATTACCTGTCCTGGAACTGAACAAGTGACTTAAATACAGCCCTACAAGTGTATGCTTGTCTGAACAGGATTAAGTCACCATTTTGAAAATGTACAAGAGAAACATGTAAAATTATGTATTACACACAAACAAAACCCCTGCACAACTGGGCGGTGGACTAACAAACCAGCTATTTCATCTCAAATGCACTGCAGAAGATGAGAACAGGTGTGAGGGCTCAGACACACGTGCTGCATCCAAAGCCCCTCTGAAATCAGATGCATTTCAGTACCAGCCAGTGCTTTAACCAGACCACCTGCGGACAGGTCAGATGAGGAGAAACTGCCTGGGGATCTGGCAGAGCTGATGGGCTGGATTGGGAACCCAAGAGGTGCTTTCCACGTGTCCATAAAAGAAGCCTTGGTGGTGGATATACCTTGGAAGCAGCCAGCTCTTGGGTGAGGTCCTGGATTTTCTGTTGCTGCTGGATTAGCAGCTCCTGGACAGCTGCTAAAGTTGTCTGTAACTGAGTCACTGTGAGGGAGAAAGCAGGAGAGTCCAAGTGAGGTACATGCACACACACACTCACACACTCCCCTCCTGCTGTCTGGCTACAGAGATGCCTCTATTCCTACTATATTTAATTTATCTGTGCCCGCCTGCTCACTTTAATCCCTGTGATTTATCTGCACTACGGGTAATCTACCTGCACTGCATCTAACCTCCAGTATTTCTAGTTTATCTTTCCATTGTATAGATGTCTATAGCCCACAGTATATCCGTCCAAAACCTCTCCCTTCTAATTATATTGGTTTATGATTTGTACATCTCCCTGAACTTATACAATGTTTGTATCATTTATCTACCTCGGGCCTCTCGCAGGCAAACACTGGGGCGAGCTCCAATCTGGGAAGAGGCTGCTGGCAGGACTGACCTCAGGGTATCATGAGAAATGAGAGATGCTTTTCTTCTCACCCTTCAGTAAGAAGTGTAATTAGCATCCTCCCACTCTCAACCCACCAGCTCCTTCCACCCCAATATCTTTAACAAACTTACTGCTGAAAATCAGACCTTTTTCTTCCTCCCAACTGAGTATATTTTGTGCTTTTCCCTTTTTATTTCAGGAGAGCACCCTATAATTCCTGTCCTACAGCCCAGCAAACACCGAGCAACTTCTGCTGGATTCCAGCTCCAGCTGTGGAACTTTTCTACTTTGGCACTTTATCCAAAGCTTCCAGGTGGTAAACAAGCTGATAAAATAAATAAAATTAAAACCTCTATTGGTGTGACAGGTAACAGCTAATCCAGACCATCATTAGGGCATCGGGTAATGAACAGACACCCTATGGAGTCAATAACAGAGAAGGTGGCTCAGGTCAGGGAGCCACAGAATTACAGACTCTCCTGACCCTTGCTCGGATTTTCAGATGGAAGGTGGGGGGAAACCACCAAAAAAAAAGCCCCTGAAAACATCAGAGAAGCAGAAATTAAAAATGAACTTTACAGCCCTCCGAAAGGCTGTCATTTTATTCCCCTTATTAATATTCTGAGGTTGGGAGCCTTTCCGTAAAAACATAATTAATTGAGGCCGTGCCGACAGTAAACAAGCAATTTCAAATTAAACCGAAATGACGGCGGCTTCATTTGCAAATGTGAACAGATTCTCAGAGCAGATAAATGAAGTCACCACATAAAGTGGAGATGGAGGGAAAGAAAAGGGTGGGGGTCTTGGCAGGATGGAGGAGACAGGGAGGAAGGCTTTGAGGGGTGAATTGATGGAGTCATTAATCTTTACCTGTCTGTGTCACACTGCCACTCATCTCAGAAATGTTGGACTCGATCCTCTGAAGTTGTTTCCTGTCTTCTTTGCCTCCCATGATGAGAGGAACCAGGTATTTCTGCATGGAGTACAGAAACTTTTTTACGAAATAGGGGATATGCAAAGCGCTCTTTCTAATCTACCAGCAACATCCTCAAATCCCACCCCTAAACCTGAGCCTTTATCACAGCGCCAGTGATCCCTGATCCACACACCCAGCTGAGAAAAGAAACTCCCCCTACAGCAGGTGCTAAAACAAGCTGCAGAAGAAGAGTTTTGTGGTTACACTCCTCAGGGTGCTACAATCCAGTTCCTAACTCTGCACACAGCCACAAAATCCACCTCATTCTGCCCTTGCAGAGGATGGACTGGGTCTAAGAGGTCACAACTCTCACTGCCATGGATCCTGCTGCAGCTCTGGGCCTGGGAACTGAATATGCACTGAGAGCAAACACGCTGAAAATTGCCTTGTTTTCAGCAGTTTGAGAGTCACAGCCAAAAACTAGTTTTGTTTGCTTTCCATGGGGTTTCTTTGACTCTGCATTTTCATGTGAAGTGTCCACATTTCTCAAATATACCAACAGCAGTGCCAGTGAGAACAGGGGTGCTTCACCAGCTTGGAATCAACACAATGATTTGGACACAGGCAGCATAACCTGCTTCTCTCAGGTATTACCTTGTAGAGCTGGTGGAATCCAAAGGCAATTCCTGCCATTATGATGGCCAAAGCCCCATAATCTCGCCATCTGGAGCCAGGGGGACCTAAGGGCCAAAAATCGAGAAACAGTCACAGTCAGAACTGCAGGCGAGAACATTTTTGTACTCCCATTTTATCAGAGAAAAGAGCCACGAAGAGCACACTGTGCAGGCCCCTGGCCCGAGGACACAAACATCTGGCCAGACCTCTGGCACTGACACTGGCCTTGCACAGAGTGTCACAGGGAGACAAATCACAGCAGCCATTAAAAAGGTTCCATAAGGCTGTTGTGCCCTCCTGTCCCCCTGCAGAAGGCACTTGAACCCAGATGATTGTCTGTGGGGTCCATACTGAGGTGAACTCCCTACCTGAGTACCTATTGTTCTCCTCATCATAACTGTTGAAAATGGGGACAGAGCCAGAGACCCAGAGGGGTGCAGGAAAAAGGAAAGAAGGGAGTGTTTTGAGAAAGAAGAGAAATCTATCAGGGCAATAAATGGGCTTATGAAAACTGTGTCAGCAATTATGGACCATTTCAATAAGGAAGGATCCAGTGTCTTTCAAGCTTAAGTTACAAACGGGGACCAAAGCACACATAAAGAGCAGAGAGAAAATATGCAATTAAATATCTACAGAGAGAGGTAAAGAAGTAGATAAAAGCTTGAAATATTTAACACACAGTTCTGCACAGAAGCTGAGAGGCTCCACAGAGCACAGCAAAGGCACGGCGTGCTCTGCTCCTCCCAGCAGCATCAGCAGGTACCTGTAGTTTTCCACCAGCTTTATCCTTTCACCTCCCTCGCAGTTCCCTGAACGAATCTCGCACTGCCCCCGGTTTTCTTTAATAATAAAGAGGATGCAGAATGATCTTGCCTAAAGTTCAGTGGCAGGATGTGGGCAGAACTGATGAGATGGAGGCCGGTGTGGTCTCCAAACAGACAGATCCAAATCTACAACGTCTGTGAGCTCATTACGTTCTCCAGAGTTTCAGCCTGGGCTTTCAGAGGGAGGCTCAGCTGGCTGAAATGGGTGCACGCTGCTCTCCTTTCTGCTCTGCTCACCTATTGCCATTTTGCTGGAGCTCTACAGACATTTCCCTGCGAGAATTACTCCTCATCCCAGCCCTCAGGGTCCACAGGCAGGCACTGACTCCCAAACACCGGCACTCAGAGCTTCTTACTATGTTTTAGGACACAGCTCCTGAAATTATCCACTGCCTAGAAATCTGAACAAATTAAAGCATCTCTGTCAGAGCTGGTGAATAGTGTCACCAGGAGTATTTTGGGTTGCTGCAGTTGCAGTTTTGGAGCTTAGGCACATGATCAAATTATCATAACTTTTTAACTTAATGAGTTAACACACGTCAGCTAAGCTGCAGTAACTGGCTGTGTACATGTCGGGATTGAAAATGATCTCTGGCTTATCTCGCTGCAAAGCCCAGCCATCCACCCCACCTTCCCCTCCACACTCTGCTCCCACTGTCACTTCTGGCATCTGAAGTCTCTTGGTTGTCCAGGTCTCTCCCCTGAGCTTCTGACTAAGGATGCCCTTCTGTGAGAGCATAGCTCCTTCCTGGCTGAGCTGCCCCTGTGAAGGGTTAATGCTCTCCAGGGGTCTGTGGGTCCAGCTGTGCCCTGTCCAGCTGTCCTCGAGGGGCTGTCCCAACCCCCCCTGCAGCTCAGTGACCTCTGAGCAGGAAGGAGACACACCTGTAGGAGTCTGCCCGCTCTGCCCTTTCACCTCCCTCATCCCTCCCTCCACTCCCGTAATGCTCGAGCTAAGAACATTTTATTGCCCCCTGGTTTTCATTATTAATGAAAAGGGACCAGAATGATCTTTCCTAAAGTTCAGAGAGTCTATAAAGACAAGAAGCTGAAATGCCATTTTACTCATTTTAGAGATGTGTGAAATAATTCTGTCTTGTGGCACAAAAAAAAAGAAAGTGAAGGGGGTGCAGAGAAAAAGTGAGCGAGGGATGCAGTGAAGGTTCTGCATTGACCACAGCAACTTTACAGAGCTATCAAGAATGTCACAGCTCTGCCTAAAATTCACACTCACCCTTCCCTTTCCTCTGCAATGCTCTAACCTAAAACATGGGTTGAAGAGAGGCTCAGGAGCTTCTCAGCTGTAACCTCAGTGCTTTGTGTATCCTCAGTTTCTCCACACAAATGAAATTCAAGTGAAGTGAAAAAGCCCTGACAGCCCAGTTACTCTCCAGTTTAGGCACTGGGGAGGTAACAAACCATTCTACATAAGAGACCCTCCCAAGGCAAATGGAAGGGACAGACACCTTCTCCAGCTCTAAGTCTGTGTTTTCGATGAGTATATTTAATTTTCACAGCAGCAGCTGTAAATTGCACTTCCAGAGTAAACACCTACTATTTTTAAGATCCCTGCTCATGTCAGAATTAACTTCCCTGACATCAATTAATTAGGCCCTGTGCATCCAAGTTCAGGTCAGCCTCACCAGCAGCCACATTTAGAACTGTAGAAACTGAGGTTGGAAGAGGCTGATTTTCCAAGACCAAACAGTGAATCCACAGAAAGGTGTTGGGGGGGGGGAAAAAAAGAGTTTGGATTCTAGTTCCCATTTTTCATTGTAAGAGAAAAGAGCCTGTATTCTGCAGCACCCCACATAATGAAGACACAGGGGCTGGGAAAGAAGAGCCAAAAAGTCATTGCAGTTCATTTTTAAGCAGGTGCCAAATCTGCACAAACCCCCATAAGTGGAGCCCGTAAATACCACAGGCAATAGCTGGGTGATCAGCTGCAGCTCTGCACACCTTGCTCAGACACTCCCCTCAGTTTGCTTGTAATTGTACAGGTTAGAAAGGTAAAAAAAAAAAAAAAAGGAAAAAAACCACAAAACACAAACCCAATTAATCATTGAAATATTTAAAGGCAGATTTTTGTCCTCACTGCTGGATTAGTGCATTTCATAATGGTAACAGCAGACAGCCCTGGTTTTTTACTGGGGGTTCATTTTAGAGCATGTTTAAACTAGTCAGATTGAGTGATGCTTCCAGCAACTAATCGCGTGTCAAATAAAAGATATTTTATGTAATAAATTACTGCTACAAGTAATTCAAATGTCATTTATCAGTTTTATTATCAGTCAGGCAAAGTCTTGTTTCTCTATATTAATCAAATTCAAGCTTTTTTTAAGCTTTTTTTTTTTTTTTTTTTTAAAGCAGTTTTGACACCTCTTGGCAAAAGTACAAACTGGAGGGAAGGAATTACTCCTCCAGAACAGGAGGAGAAACAGCAGACACCTAAAATACAAGAAACTTAATTCTTATCTCTTCCCCCAAAAGCTTGTACAGTTTCTCTTGAACCAAACTCAGAAGGAGATCAGCACACAAGAACTGTGTGACTCTGGAGGCTTCCAAGGCTGCTTCTTTCCTGTTAACTCTTCAAGAGTAAGAAGGTGTTTAAACAGGTGACAGCTGCCAACAAAACATCAGGACATTAAGGAATGGACACCCTGGCAGCTCAGCTGTACAGGAGGAAGCATTTAAGTGGCATGAACTTAAGAAACAGAACAGACTGGGGTGACAAGAGCAGGAGATGAGGGAAGTTAAACCCAAAGGTGTGCGCAGGATTTGTTGCTGTGACTCACAGGAGTGAGTGAATCTCACACCGGCACTGCTGGCAAATCACCAACTCGGCTCTTTGCTTCCCTCCTGCTGAACAAACTCCTGAGATGGTTCTGAACCATCCTGAACTCTTAGCCCACAGTTTTAATGTAATTTTTAAACATGAAGCAGCAACACCTGGGGGGGTGGGCAGAGAGAAATTAAGATTTCCTAGAACAGGAGCCTTTACTTTTCAGCACACAACCCTCCTCAAATGTTTTCCTTTTTGCCCTGTGGGGGGTAATTCCTTCTCTCCAGTTTTGTGGGTTTGTGTAGAGGTGTCAAAACTACTCAAAAAACGCTTAAAAAGAACCAAAAATATCAAACAAAGTGGTTCCAAGTCTTCAAGAGCTAAACTCGAGCAGATCAGCTCAAGAAACTCAGATGTCTGCTCTGGGGAAGGCAAATACAGCTTGCAACCTTTTTCAAGATAAGCTCTCCAGTGTGAGTTGTTCCCAGCACCAAGTCAGAGCACGGGCTCAGCAGCCTCCCTATCTCACCAGTCCTGCAGATATTCCTTCGAACTTCAAACCCTGCAGCATTCCAAGGCAGTGTCACAAATGCTCCCTGACAAGATAAGCATAACAGATAGACAGAGAAAGCAGTGTCTGTCTTTCTCTGTACATGACAAGCCCTGAGAAACCTGTGAAAGATAAATTGACTTAGTAAACTACCACAGAAACAACTGTCCTGGAGCAGATTTGGACCAATTCAGAAATCTCTGCTACAGGATTAGCGTTCAACTGATGAAATAACCCACAGCAAACGACACCTTGAAGGAGCCCTGAGCCACTGCACACTCTCATCCATCAGCTCTAAGGAGATCCACGTACTCCTCTTGCAGTTCTGCCACCATGGAAAGCACAAAGGTGGATCCATCATTAACACCAGCCCTGGACTAGAACAGGGCACAGATGAGAACTAATCAAACCAAGCATTTTGGCCAAACAAATACCATGTATGTTCAGCTCTTCATTCTTTTTATACATCCATTTAGAGGTTAAGCTTAAATAGAAGGTCTACAAAGAATGGCTAGAGTGGGGAGGAACAATACCTAATGAACTCATTGTCACCTTTCCCCAATTTTGGGGGCTGCTAAAAAGGACTGGCTCACAGGAAAAAGCTTTGGGTTCAAATTGTTTAAAAGGGGCCAACCAGATCACAAAGTTAGAGCACCAATTTAGTTTACAATTACATCCCCTAAAAAGGCTTTACTTTGGTGGTATTTTTAGTCACCTTTGGTTTCTGAGCATTACAGAGTGATACTTTCCAAATTCTCTTTGGAGCTGTTGCTGGGAACATTCTGATGTTTAAATATTAGTGAAGATTCTTACCTGCTAAGAAGAAATTTGGAACTGGTGCTTTGAGGAAGGGCAAGGTAAGTGAAAGGAAACAACCAAAGAGCGATTGAGCTGCAGGGATGAACAGTGGTGACAGTGATTCCTGGGTTGAACTGGGTGCTCCTTCCCTGCCCTGCTCAGGGTAGTGCAACACCAGGAAATCAGGGAATTTGAACTCCTCCAGGAGTGTTACGGTGAGAGTTTGCTGAATGGCCAGTGGACAGCACCAAGAGAATCTGGCACCGTTTCTTCAGCAAGAGAGCAGATTTTTGCTTTCCTGGCATTTTCTGTGGACTGTGACAGAGGTACCAGGGCAGAACTGACCCCTGCAGTTCAGCAGTCACAAATATTCCAGTTCTGAGCCCAACTCTACCACAAATGTTTCTCTTCTCAAAATGTACCAAACCAGAGCAGTTAAAAACTCAGAAAGCAAGTCTAGCATTGTCTCCAGCAACAGCAAAACTGTGCCTTAAACTAACAAAGACAGCCCTAAGTGGACTGTTTTATCAGTCAGTATCTGACACAGAGCTGTTCAGGAGCAGCAACAAAAATCCTATTTTTAATACTTGGCAGGTAAGTGAAGTGATTTTCAAACTGCCAGACACACATGTGAGCTGAACAGCTTCTCTTGATGGATTTTTAATGGTGTGCACTTTGGTTTTTATTGTTTGGAGCTTAGATACTTTTTTGCGAGGTTTGTTTTAAAATGCAAATATATATGTAAATTTTGAGTCTACACAGATTATGTTGGGACTTTAAAAATTCTTTGTACACAAAAATCATACAATCACATCCACACAGCCTGCACAGAATCTCTGCTGTCACACCTCAGATTGGTTAAGATCAGAGAGAGAAGTTTGCTAAGTTTAAGAAGGGAAGACAGGTCCCAGTGTTGACTAAATGCCTTTTTCACATCCTTAGAGCACGTCACAATCTGATTTGTATCGACTGGACACCTTCAGGTCAAGAGGTGTCACAGGCTAGCCCGGATGATGTTTGTTTGTAGACAGTGACCATTTGTATCTCATTTTCCTCGTGTAACACGATCTTGTCACAGGCATCAACAACCAGGAGGTGCATTCCAAGTAACATCAGCGTCCAATTCTGACAAACCACGGCACCAGCTGAGCTGAAACCCAGGACGTGGCACAGAAATCCCTGAGACTGCTGCAGAAAGCAACAGGAGCAGTTATTTTTCCAAGAGTTACTTACTGTACACCACAGGGGCAGGGGGCTGAGCTGGCACGGGGTGTGTGGCAGGACCTGGGGACTGGGGCTCGTCCGTGCCCGTGCCCGACTGCTGGAAAGCCAGGTCGATTTCTTCATCTGTCAGGCCTGGGGGAGCAGAGCAAATGAAATCAGTTTAGCACCTTTACCCACCTGCTGCACGCATAATTAAATCCTCAAGCCAGGCAGAACCCTTTTCAAGCTGCAAAGGATTTTGGCACTGACTTGAGCAGTAATGCCTCCCCAATTTTGGATTCACTGGAATGTCTCCCTCTCTCTTTCTCTGTTGCAATTTAACCTTAAGCGACAGAATATTAGCCTCGACGCTGCTTCCAAATGTGGCTCATTCAATTTCCTTAATTTATCCTTGAGTTTATTGCTGCTTTTGAAGTAGCTTTCTATTGCAATTCTCCATTCTTCCCCCGAAAAAAAGATACCATCAACTGCAAATGTGGCTCATTTTAATCTGTAATGGTGTAAAAAAAAAAAAGAGGGGAAAAAACTAACAATAATGCATGAAAACAGACAGGGAAACAAAAAACTAATTATTGGGTTAGACGACTAATTAGTCTAGATCGTTTCCGAAGACGGGAATAATTTGCTTTATTTTATGACAAATGCAGAAATAAAAAGAAAAAAATCAGGACTGACTGTGATTAGTATGAATGGGACACAGAATGTAAGGAGGAAATAAAACTATAACAAAACAGATCAAAACAAGGCCAAGCCCAAACTTTGAGCTGAGCGGTGCCCCGGCCTATTGCTGCACGATCGGAGTGCCCCAGGGCAGCCTGGTTTGTGTTTCACACAGAGAGCTGCAGGAACACTGCTCACGTGGCACACGGTGGGGCAGTGACTCCTGCCACCAGGAAACGCCAGCATGGCCATCTGTAACCAGCCAGGTTAGGAAAGGATTTGGCCAGCAAGGGGGAAAAGAAAAGCAGCTCCAGGATTCACCACGACCGGCATCTGAGAGGAAGGAAGCACAGCTGGATTGGTTTTTTTTTTCCAATAGGAGGAAACATCCTAAGGAAAAGAATTTAGTACTCAGATGGCAGCCACGAAGTGGGACCTGGACAGCTGGGTGTTGTTTGTTGTGTCACAAAAATCAGTGTCCCTGCTACGAGGAACATGTGGAGGCATCCAGGACCTTTCACTACATGCAGTGTGTGTGTGCAAAAACACTCCCAAAAGTTGGAAGCGAGAATGTGGCTTTCAGGAAAGTGATTCAGAAGAAAGGAGGCAGATCACCTGACTGTCACACCACGACAGGGACTGAACACAGTGGGTGAAATGGTAAGAACAGGACAGCGCTGGGAGGAAAGGGGGGATACCTGCTCTCCATCACCCCCACTGGAGGTCCACAAAGCATTGCCAATAAGTGAAATTCCTGAACTTAATCCTTTTTACCAATACTGATAGAAAATGCCCAGGTTACTGGGCATATTAGCTAAATTTTCAGGAAAATTTTCGGGCTCTGCAGCTTCACTGCACACTGGGGGCCTACAAGGAATAATCTGTAGCACAAACAATACTGCCAGAAATAAATACACAACTCTGTCTCAGAACTGTTATTTAATATCATAAGCACTATCACAGTGCTTGTGGTATTCAGAAGGCTTTATAACTATTAGCAGATCTTCTCCCTATTCCTGGGAGCACGTGAGATCTGTGAGTTCCTCTGGGACACTGTTCAGACACTCTCCAGAGCAGATGCTGATGCACAGAGAAATTTGATGATTTCCCTAACAACAGAACACTGCCAGTGTCAGAAACTGTATCAGAAATCTGAAGTTCCTGATCCTTGGTCCTGAAATCTGTATTTGATGAATGCCTCCAACAGTAAGGAACCAAACCCACACGTATACAATGTGGAACAAGACCTACAGTGAGAGTAATAAAAGGCACATGAACACAACTCAGCCCCCTGCTCTAGTCACAAAAGCAATATTTATGGTGTCTAATCCATGATAAAAAGCAAAGTCCTAATCAGACAGAAACTGCTTAAACCAGCTTCTAATTATCCAACGTAGGAGAACACATAAACAGATGCCAACGCTGCAGATCACCAGCAACTCTGGGATTTCATGAAGATGGAGACAACATTAGCTGCTGGCTGCAAATGTGGCTCCCACTATAATAGGGCATTTTGTTCTATTTCCACGCAAAGGCAGCAAATCTGATAATATTTAACACTGAGAAACACCAGAAGTAACGGAGGATCCTTACTTCATTCTGCAAAAAGAGCAGAAAACAATGTCTATTGTTTCTTAACCATACTGCCCCTTCTATTCTCATGCTGTTTGAGAAAAAAACTAAAATATTTTGCAGATAAAATGCACATCTAGGATTATTCTGATCTGGCCAACTGGGGACATCCAAGTATCAGTGTCCATTTAAACCCTGCTGTGCTGCAAAGGAAAAGCCGATGTGAATGACAGAACGACGGGAAACCTTTCCCATTGTAACTCCTGCCTTGAATGCTGTGCAGAGTAGATCAAATTAGAATTGTTATTACTCCCCTGGACTATTCTGCTGCCTGGTGAAGTGGTCTTGGTCATGGTGCTGGTGGCATTATACAGAAGAACATCCCAAACTACATCCCTTTTAAGGGCCTCAGCATCTTGGCCACCAAACACGTCCCAGAGCTGATTCCTCAAGCACACACATGGAGACTCCGTGCTGACGAGTCACCTGCCTTCACGCTGGTCATTTCTCACACACAGGGACAAGATATTCCAAGAGTGTCCTCTTGGCAATTACAACCAACCCCTCACAACTCCCTCTGGACTGATTTTTTTTTCGTATTCAACACCTACACACATGTATGCACACAGCATGAGTTTTCCATGCCCAAATTATTCAACCTTGATATATTAATTACGTAGAAAAGTGGGAATTTCTAAACCAGAGGAAAGTGTCATCTGTTCCAGTCTCTCACTTTGCTTTATTTTATCACAGACCTTCTGTCGCTGCACTACATGAAGAAGTATCCACGGTCCCTTCATTGCTCTAATCTAGCAGGAAGTTGGCAACCCAAAATCAATACCACTTCCCTTGGATGCAAAAGCAGTGCCACAAAAACTGAAGCTTTGTGTCTAACATAACCCTCCAACAGGTCCGTCAAGAAAACCACCTCAGTTTAACAGAGGAATGGCTCTAAATCCACTTTCCACCACTTTGGAAAACAAACATTTTTGTTGCTCTGCAGTTGCAGCAAGATCAAGCCCCTGCAGAATGCAAAAGGTTAAAAGGAACAATAAAGGAAACTGCCAATTGTAAGTGAATTATATTTGGCTTTGAAAGCTGAGCCACGGCTATATTATAAAAGGCATCTCTTTGCGTTGTTTACCATCACCCTGACTAATGCAGACCTTTTTTTTTGTTTTAAATAATCTCATGCAAATTAGACACACACTTCCTTCCAGTTGATTGCTATCTGCAAGGAATAATCTAACCGCAGAGGGTACCGAGCAAGGACTGCGCCGAGGAGAAGGATGCACGGAAACCGCCTTCGGAGCCCCACGGAATGCAAACCTGCTCCCTGCCCCCCACCAGCCATTTCAGTCCTCCCCAGCACCACAGCCACTGCAAAGAATTAGTCATAATTTTCACAGAGCCTTAAAAATTTCCTTTTCAAGGCTTCAGGGTGTCGATTTGAATAACCCAGCGCCCATGGCTGCTTTGCACTCGGAGGTTCTCGCTGTCCCTCTTTTGTGCTTGTCGCCGCTGCCGTGCAGGGATGGCTCAGCCTCTGTAAATTGTCAGCAAACACAGAGGCAGAGCAAGGCAGAGAATAAAACGGGTTGTCACAACCACCTCTTGGTGCCTGCACCTCGGGTGCTGTGTAAGGAGCTCCTTTGCCCAAGAACTTCCAAGACTTCACTGTCTGTTTGTGTCCTTTTATAATATCTGTGACTTACTTAGTACAAGGACCTCACGTACATCAAAATGCTGGTCCTCTTATGCCCACTCTGAAGTTGAGATGTGCTCACAGTGCTGTTATCCACATTTCACAGAGGAGGAAGAAGTGAGACATACAGATATGAGAAGTGCTTCAAGGTCAGAACTGCACCTCTGACAGGCAGAAAACAAAACTCAAAAGATGTGAGTCCCAATCCACTGTTTAAACTGTTTTCTGGCCAAAACACAGTAGCAATAATTGCACTGCAAACCCCTTGCATGAGCTGAACTAGAGAAGCCACTAAGTTTATTCTTCTCTGACATTTCAGTGACAACCCTTTTCCCATCCCAGGCACTGAGGATTATTTTTTTTCTTCATTAAACTGCTCCTTCTGCTGCTCAATCCAGTAATTCATGCAAGACTTTCACAACCTGAAGACATCATCAGTTTTAAGGAGAAAATTTCCGGTGAGGTGGAAATTAAGAATTGTGCCACAACAGGGAAAGAATGAAGTTCCTTTGTGGGTTTCCAAAGCCAGCTTTATCACCCCAGAGCAATCCTCACACCCCCCCTTTCCCAGGGACCAAAGGCAGGGGAGGGTGTGGGGCAGGGGGTGGCAGCTCTTGTTGTTTTCTCCACAGACCTTCTATTAAGAAGAAAGCAAAACAGAAGAGGACAAGTTGTTTTGCTACACCAAACTACGTGACCACCTGAAGTCAGTGCCTGGTATCGTGTGAGTAAAGGGAAGATGTGCTGGTCAGCACCCTGAGCTGACATTACACTCCTGTTCCTGGAAGCCACTGAGTCAACCCTGCTCAGAAAGAACACGGTCACATTTTAAAAGAACCATCATAAAATCCTTCTGGGATCCAATCCAGACTAATGATTCCACCTGTTCAGTCGGTTACATGCAGTGCTGGGTGACTGTTAGCAAATGTTTGTCCTGTATCCTACCCCGTGCTTAGCTGAATGTATTTCAAAAAGGTCAAAAAGGCAAAGTCTCCTGATCCATTTTCCTCCACAAATGGGTCATTCGTGAGGCTGAGCCAACCCGAGGTCTGAACAAAACCTAAGGTTTCAGAAACATCACTCTGATTTTTTTTTTTTAACCCTTGATTTACAGTGAGACACCGTATTTGAATTTGAATGTAAACATCCTGCTGCTGCACTTCCAGCTCAAACTTTGGTGAAGGAACCCACACAT